TGGAGACTTTTTCATGGGCGCAGTTTTAGTTGCCATAGAAGCCGAGAGTGGCTGAGCAGAAAGCGATGGTGATGGCGTGAAGGCAGCCGATTCAGCCTGTGCACTCTGCGGCATCAAATTGCAGACCGCTGTGGTGGCCGTAGAGGTGGTATTCGTATTGATCGACACAGTTGTGGCCACTGAAGACACGTTGGCGGAGGCCTTTGAAGCCTGTGTTGATTTGCAGGGTTTGTTTCGCTTCAAAACATCAGCACTTTTAGCAGTAGCGGTGGCAGCTTGTAGGGTCGAAGCAGGCGGCACCTGTGTGGATGTTGGCGCGGATGCTGAAGCTGCGGGCTGTGCCACAACAGGAGCAGCCGTTGCTTTGTAGACATGAGTTACTGTTGTTGTGTTAGTGGAGTTGTCCGATTTTGGGTCTTTCTTAGCAGGAAAGTGCACCGATGAAAAGTTGAAAAACTGGCTGGGTGTGGCCGCCACGGCCGAGAACTGTGTATAGGAAAATGACTTGGAAGCGTCAGAAGGCAGAAAGCCTTGAAAAGGAACAAAATAATTAGCAAAACAAAATACGACTAAATTCAAAAGAGTAGTACCTGGAGTATGCAGAGCAAGTGTCTTAGCTGGGATATCCATTTTCTTCTGAAAGGTCGCTCCATCAAAATTAGTTGGCAGTTCCGTTTCGATGGTGAAGTTTTCATCAAAATTCAGTGAAGGGAGCGCCTTACTTAGAGAGGCCAAACTGTCCTTCTGAGAGTAGGGATGCTTGTCGACGTTGGCGGTGACACAGTTTCCATTGCCTACAGTTTTGCCAGCACCAGATTCGATGACGCCTAAATCAGAGAAGCCTGCAGAAGAAAGTCGGCAAATGTACTCGTTCTTAAGCTGGAGGTCATCGCCGTTAGTGGTCGTTGGTGGCAGGAATCCACAGGTTAGACTCCCCTTTTGTGGCATAAGCTGACGTGTGTGGACAACTTTGCGGTAAAATTCATTCACATCTTTAGGAGGAAACATTTCGTAGATGTCGGGCATGCGAATCGTTTTGGCCTGTCCACTATGATCGACTATTTGAAAGGAGCCACTTTCAAGTATATACTGCACTTCAGGTATAGTCGTAGCCGATGTGTAGTTGAAGAGGCCAGCTTCCTTCGCCAAGTTTAGTGGCTTCTTGTCCGTGTCAAGCGTTTCAGTGGCAAGGCAGTTGACGACAGAGTTGTACAGCTCGCCGAATTTGCTCATGTCGTGCTCTGAAGAGCTCTGCGCAAGTGGTAGGTAGTGGTAATCGATGAGCATCTGAACAATGGCGGTGTGACCATTCTTCGCAGCCTCAATCAGCATGGTCGAATTGTCCTTCAGTCGATGGAAGAGATCTGCCCCGGAGTTGAGCAGAATATCGACCACCGCAGTGGCTCCTTCTTTGCATGCTAACGAAAGCGCCGTCTGTTCGTTGTTGCTGGTCGTTCGGTTGACCTGGGCTTTTGCACTGATTAGCAGCTGCACCGCTTCCGCGTGGTTATTCGACGCAGCCTTCATCAGCGCCGTCTTGCCACCTTCGGCGCAGTAGTCCACCTCCGCGCCTGCTTCCAGCAGCAGCTTGATGACGTCTGGGTACCCACTGTCAGCTGCCACTGTTAGAGGGCTTTCACCGGCGCTGTTTTTAGCATTCGGGTCGGCGTTGGCTTCCAGCAGTCGCTTCACAACGAGCAAGTGCCCCTCCTGGGAAGCTTCCAGCAGAGGTGTACTCGTTCCGAGCTCAATGTCGGCTCCAGCTTTGATCAGCAGGTTGACCACTTCGAGGCAGCCCGTGCCGGCGGCCATGAACAGTGCCGTCTCTTTAGACTCCTCAGTGGTGGCGTTCACCTGAGCTCCGTGACGAATGAGTAGAGCGACCATCTCTTCGTGCCCTTCCCGAGCAGCTTCCATCAGCGCCGTGTACCCTTCATCATTGACCTCCTCGATGTTGGCGCCGCGTTCGATCAGGAGGAGCGCCAGCTCAACATGACCACCACACGCTGCCAGGGTTAGCGGAGACTCGAAGCTGTCGGGAGGCATGTTCACCTCTGCCCCGGAGTCGATGAGAAGACGGGCCACCTCGACATGGCCATCCATGGAGGCCTCCATCAGCGCCGTGTGCATCTCCTCGGCTCGGTTTTCCCGATCAGCGCCGGCGTTGATGAGAAAGCGAACCATATCAAGGTGTCCTTTGTACGCAGCCAGTGTCAGCGCCGTTTCCTTGTACTCATTCGAGTGGACGTAGATGTTGCAGCCCTGACTGACGAGAAAACGGGCAACCTCCACGTGTCCAGCACTGGCGGCCTCCATAAGTGGAGTGTGACCGTTTTCGTTTTGATCTTCAATGTTGGCGCCCCGAATGATGAGCTCTTTCACTACTTCCAGGTGACCCATGGCACAAGCGTACATCAGAACCGTATTGCCTTGCTTCGTTTTGCAGCTCACGTCGGCGCCGTAGTCGAGGAGAAGTCGAACAATCTCGAAGTGTCCTCCGCTAGCCGCCTCCATCAGAGGAGTCATCTCCTTGGGGCCTCGCCTGTTGACGTCAACCTTTTGAGTAGTCAAGATCAACTGCACCATATCGTCGTGACCAGAAGCAGATGCGTAAAGCAGCAGTTGGCTATCAGTCGTTCCGTTGGTGGCATTGGAGGCAGTCAAAGATTCGGGGAAATCGGAGAAGTTCAGTTCCATGCCTGTATGAAAAGAAAGATATAACGAGAAATTGACAAACACACAGGTCTTACCTCCACCGTAAGGATGATTAGAAGAGAAGTTCGAATGATCACCGGTTAGAGTGAACTTTGAGTCAAGCAAAGATTCCTCTTCGTCGTACTCTTCTTCGTCGTCACCCTCTTCACCGATTATATCGAAAGGAAGCTCATCCTCCTCCTCCTCCTCTTCGTCTTCTTCTTCTTCTTCATCGTCTTCCTCGTCTTCCTCGTCTTCCTCCTCATCGTCGTCTTCCTCGTCGTCTCCATCGTCCTCATACTCGACACCATTTCCGAGTTGATGAGCTTCGATGTCGGTGGGGTCATCATCAATGTCGTCTCCGTAGATCTCGTCCTCGTCACCATCCTCTTCGTCTGATGCAAACAGCTCATTCATCAGCGTGGTGCGATTCTGAGATCGCATCATACGATGCATTTTAAGATGGAAACCTTAAAATGGGTGAGGGTGATCAAAATTTTGTTGTTGCTGGAAAAAACACTGGCAAGAGGTGCTCGAATTCGGTTTGCAAAGCTTTGCAGACGAGGCGGCAAGGCGAGGCGGGGCTTGCTCTTTCTGACGTCACGCTGGACGACAGGAGCACTACGCTTATATTCAGGCGCGCGCGCATTTTCGGAGAAAAACAAAACAACAAAAGTTTTTTTAAAAACTGTAAATGTTTGTTCATATAAAAAGTTTTAGTGACACAATTTAAAAAATTAAATGTTAAATTGAGAAAATGAGTTTGTAGCAGAATTTGTAGCAGCAGAGTTTTATTTTGCTAAACATTTTTGAAATAAAACTAAACCTTGTTTTTTATCAATTTACGATGTTTTCATCGAGCTTACTAAACACATAATTTAAAACTATTTTGACAAACTGTCTATATCTTTTCTCTCACTTTAAACTTTTATTTTTTAAATTTAAAACTATTTCCGGATTTAAAGACTTAAATAGCACATTTTAATTACGACTTTTGAAGCACACAAGTCACTTAGACTTGATGCAAACTAACAACAAATAAAAAAGGCAAAATTAGATTTTAATTAAATTGTGTAAAAAGAACAACACAATTTCCTAAATTCAAACAAATGTAAGGAAAATCAAATTCATTTTTTGTATGTAGTAAAAAGTATATTAAAACACTAAAGAGGAATCCGAATAAAAGGTCAATCACGGATAAATCTTTTTAGTGACTTATTTTGTTTAGTAAAAAAGCTACAGCTGACATTTGCTTGAAGTTGCTAGTTTGTTTTGAACTTTCATTTTGTGGTTGATCACCTAAAAGGCACGTTCTCAGTATTTTTGACGTGGTGAATCTAAACAAAAGTGCATTTGTTGAAAGCCTTCGAAAGAAAGCGTAGCGACACTGTTGTGACATCACGAAAGTTTGGCTCCTCCCAGTGCAGACTGGCGAGTGCGAGCTAGAGTCGTTGACTCGCACTGCAAGTTTTTCCTTTCCCAGTTCAGAACAGTGCTGCCCTCTTTGACGCGTTGAAAGTAAGAGTCTACACGGGATAAATCTGTCTCCACTCGAGCCACTCACACTTCGATGTGACTGCACAGAAGAGAGCGCAAGCTGGATACAAGACATCGGCTAAAAGGTGTGCTAAGTGTGTAACAACCATTTTCAAAGCTTTCGGTATATTTCCACGAAACGACAACTTAACAACATGATTCAACTGTAACCTTAGCTGAATCAAATGCCGGCTTCACTGCAATTGACCACACCTCAACGCCGATGTCTTGAATCCAGCTCACGCTCTCTACTGTACACACACGCATCGACTGCGCACGCAAAGACCATCTCTCACAGTACTAAAGTTGAAGAACTAAACCTGTTGTACCGTGAGAGTAGAACTTTTATGCATAATCGACTGGAGAGTGGCCAGCCATCCTCCTGGCTTTTCAGGCAACACAACAGCAGCCTTTTCTGCAACTTTTCACCTGTCTTTGCTAAAGAGTTGCACGCCCCCAAAGCTGAAACCTTATTTTTCAAATTGACCGCCTGACAAAAGGCGACTTCTCGTGGCAGAAATCGCAGTCAGTCTCTTCACGACGTCTACTCGAAAGGTACGTGACGTTGATTTGTATTCAACTTTCGCGTAAAACTTTCGAGCGACAGTCCTCTCCTCCGAAGAGTGTATTATTGGCAAATAAAATAAAATATATATCATCATTATTAATAACTCGCACATTCAACAAGGGAAGTTTAACAAGAAGAGGGGGCAAGGAAGCGAGAGTACAGATCTAATGTGAAACTGGGACACTGATGTGTGAAAGCGCAGCTAGGGACAGGTGTGTAAGGTTGTGGATGATTGCTGACTTCGTAACAGACTTATCGTCTCCTGTGCATGCTTCAAGTCTTTCGTCAGGACGTCAATTTCTCTCTGCGAGTAGAAAAAGCGATGAATCAGTTGGAGTTAAACCAAACATCTACACCTCTAAACTCACCTTGTATCGAATGACCAGCTGCTGTAGCTGCAGGTAATCCTTGACAACAATCTGCCCGTCAAAATCAATCGTCGGCTCGTTGACCATGTTCAGCAGTTCACTGGTGATAACGTCGCCACCATTTTCAGTCATCACCTTGTTGTTGGAGCACTGCCGACTGCAGTGCTGCGGTCGATTGCCTGATTGCGAGAAATGCCGATGGTTGGCGGTGCTGCCGTTGCCGTTGACTGGCGGCAGCAGATGGTTTGCCTCCTCTCGGGACATGGCCTCCTGCGCTTCACCATTACACACTGTACCGTTTTGAAGTTCCTTATCACAGTTGCTGTTGTTTGTTCGTACACTTGAACTGAGGAAGCTGTCTCGGTCATTGGAGACATTGGCATCGTAGAGGCAAGAGTCGCTGAGGTGGCGCACCTGCAGTTTACTTTCGGGTTTAGCTGACTGCTGGGCGCTTCGGGAAAGGTTGTCGCTAGAGCTTCCGCCGGTCAGACTGCCGCATGACAAGTTCTCAAGTGAGGCCGATCGGTTGAGATCGGTTTTGAACTGCGAATGACCGTTCAGTTCCGCCTTGGAAGCGTCACTCTCTATTCCGCTCTCGTCAATGTTCGCTTCGTTCAGTGCCGTTGACGAGTCCATGTCATTGGTTCGTGTGACAAACAGGTTCCGTCCACTGCAGACGTCCTCGTGACAGTCGGGCATTGGGATGATTTTCGCCACGCTAGTGCCCGAGACCGGCACGTAGACTTCGCTCCAGAGGCCCATGTCCTTCACTCGATAAGAGGGTCTCAAAATCTGTCAATCATTCGAAGAGATGTTAACATAAAAGCATGTACAATTTGAGCCAATAACAAACCTCTGACTTCTGAAAGTACAAGTAATTGGTGAAGTTACTCCTCTCGAGCTCCATATACGACCACAGTGAGATGGTGCTCTGGTACAGCTTCTCATTGACTCGCTCTTGAATGTTATTGCAGGTGAACGTACCAAAGAGGCAAGAGTACGTGTGGTACACCAGCTTGACCTGCAGGGTAGAAAAGGTCGTGTTAGAAATGAAGAACAGCCGTACCGGAAATCGTTTGACAGTTTACCAGAAAGTAATCGTTAAACTCAAAGTCGCAGGGAAACTGCCTGACGAGTTGATGAACACAGTCGAGCCACTGAAGGAAGACGGGACAGCGCTCGTTCAGGTCGATGTTCAGAGTGGTGCTACGACAGCGATCGGTAAACTTGTGGCCAAACTGGAGCCACTCGCGCTCAACCAGCACCTTGAAACCGTCAATGGTGCGGTAGTAGGGGTCAAGCATCAACTGCGCCAGGGCGACCACCTGCGGCGTGCGATCCCAGCCATCGGAGCAGTGCACCAGCACTGGTCGCTCGTGGATGCTGATCGTCTCCACAATGACCAGAGCAGCCTTTATCAGCGCCGACAAGTTGTGAAACCACTTGCTATTGTCGAGCAGTGTCAGCCAACTAGAGAGAGAGAGAGAGAGAGAGAGAGAGAGAGAGAGAGAGAGAGAGAGAGAGAGAGAGAGAGAGAGNGAGAGAGAGAGAGAGAGAGAGAGAGAGAGAGGAGAGTGAGTAATTGGGAAGAAAGGGGAGGAGAGGAGACTTACTTTGGCAGTTCAATCTGCGAAGACTCGCAAATGTAGCGCAAGGAGTGGAAGCTCTTGCGAATGTTGTGAATGTTGTTGAGACTCATAAATTGAACATCACAATTGTCGTAGTACTCGGCGCACTCGCACCCGCCGCCCATGGCCCGATTGGCAAAGGCGGCAGCGTAGGAGCGCGCGTCCAAAATGAGCAGCTTTGTGGTGGAATTTTCAGTAGTGAGCTTCTCCATGGACTTGTTCGTCGCCAGGGTGCCATTGCCCAGCACATGGCCGCCGCCATTGCTGGTGGCCACTGCTGACTGCCCATTACAATCGGCGGATTTTTGCTGATTTTCAGATGATTCACAGGAGGAGGAGGAGGAGGAGGAGGTGGGAGTGGGGGGAGAAGGAGAAGAGGGACAAGAGGGAGCGGAGGGGGAGGAGACGGCAGCACCAGTTGACTGGTGAGCAGCGACCACGTTAGCTGTATCACTAGTAGTAGTAGGGAGAATGGGACTGGCTGAAAGACCATTTGCGAGAGGAGGCGTCGAGGTGGCGGAAGCGAGGAGAGGAGGCGTCTCCATGCACTGACTACGATGGCCGTTTTCCTTCAGTCGCATCTGATTGCACTCATGAGTATCTTTAATGCTGATGTCCAGTATCCTCTGGAGAAGTCGCTCATCCTGACTACTTCGCCAGCCGAGCCACCCGACGACTGGTTGCGATGAGCGAGCAATGACACAGCCATTCTTCTGGTGCCGCCACACTACCACTGGAATGCGTCGTGAGTAGCGAAAGTTGCCCACTGATTCCAGCTCCTTGTCGGTCATCTTCTGCGGAACGATAAAGTACTGCGGATAGCTGCTGCAAAACCTAAACTCCTTGTTCAGCTCGCACAGCCTCCAGTCGTTTGGATTAAAGTTCATCCTTCTGAACTCCTTGAGTACTAGCTCCTTTGGATCACTGTGCTTCTCCACTTCCTTCTGATTCAAAGCGACCAGTTTTCCAATGTGACGGTTTTCAGTGGCAGTGTCCTTCAACTGCTTGAGAGCGGTGAAGAACTGAAAGCAAAACAGTTCCTCCACTTTCAAGTTGTTGGCGTCATTCAAGTGCTTCAGCCATAAGGTGGCACTTTCCGGAGACTGGAAGGAGAGAGCAAATGACTGCACATACTTAGTGAAGACAACGAGAAAGTTTAAATCGCGTTGCTCAATTGAGTCAATTGCTCCAACGGGTAAGCTGATGGTCTGCCGAGCGCTGTCCACATTTTGTTCTGACTGCTGCTGCTGCTGCTGATCATGTTGCAGCTGGTGTTGTTGATGCTGCTGCAGTTGTTGCTGCGACGGCGGCGGCGGCGACTGCAGTTGCTGGTACTGCTGCTGCTGATGCTGCTGTTGTGCCCGAGAGACATTGTGCTCGTCGGCTTTTGAAGATGGCGGCTCAATATGCAGACGGTAGTTGGTGAGATACACAAAGCCATCACTCAAGGCCTCGTCTGCGCGCAACTCCTCTCCAGGCAGTAAGGTGAAAGGTGTAAGCTTCTTCTGCTGGCATGTACCATTGACAAGCGCGGCAGGCATTGCTTTGCATGTACTCAGTTGCTCTACTTTCATCAGCGCTGGCAATTGACCTGCATTTGAGCTACCGCGCTTCTATTTAAAACACAATATACTGTCGCAGAGTTTGATTCTTAGAAATAGCGGCAGAAAAAGGCTCTGTGTCTACTAAGCAAAGTTGCTAAAATGACTTTGAAATTTTGCCGCAACCTTTTAAGTGGGAAAACATGGAAAAGGTAAATAAAAAATAAGGAATGAAGAAGGGCAATTTACCTTGCTGTTAGGCTGCAATGTCAAGCTGATGATGCTGGCGGAGGTGTGATCCATGCAGTGGAGGCTAGAGAAACAGTCGTAGTTGGCACTGCAGCACTTGTTTTTGGGTTGATTCTGGTACACTTTTGGTAACAGTTTATTGATTGTGGCGGTGGTGGTGGAAGATAGGACGGCATTGACGTAAACAGTCACTCACTCGCTCGACGTGAGAGTGAGCGTCAATGAGCTGACAAATGTAGCAAGTGTCGCCGCCGACGTCGCTGGTTCAGTGTCACTGGCAAAGCTTTGGGCACAGGAAGTAGGGGGCGCCAGACGAGGCAACGAGATCATCGGTGGGGCAGAGTTTGAAGGTGAGTGGAGGTGAGCCTGAGCTGGAGATGGTCCTGTCCTGTGCTGACACACACAGCTGTGGGCTGATCGGGAGATAGCGGTCGCAGTGTGGTCGGTGACTGGAGACGGCCACCGAGTGGGCGACAGGGCGTCGCAAGATGCGCAAGCCTTGGACCAGAATGCAGAGATGGCGGTGGGAGAGCGAATTCGGGTTCACCTGACACTCAGAGGCTGAGACATGGAGAAGAAGAAAACATAAACAAAATCAAATCGCACTCGCGAGTGGCGAGGGGCAGTCTCGAAAGATCATAACGTAGTAGGCTGCAGCACAACTTGCCCGTCCTCTCTCTCTCTCTCTCTCTCGTAATACGCAGAGCTTTCACGGATGCCAGCGATAGTGGTCATGCGCAGCCGTCTCTGGACTGCTTAAACTGGTGGACATTTCCCCGAAGAGGGGCATTTCTTCAACATTAGTTGCATCAGGGTATTCGAAAAAGTGGTTTTTGCAGAGCAAAACTTAAAAAAAATTTGGTACACGACTGAAACAGAATGTGTTCATTGTTTTATTATGCATCACGATGCTGCCCAAGCAATGTACTGGCGCAAGGTGATTTTATTAAAATACGTCTAGAAGCAGTACTCCACATGTTTTCATTTACTCATAAGCGCGCTTCACTCCGGCCAGAAGAGATTCACAGGTCTTCTTGGCGTCACCCAGCAGCATGGCCGTGTTGGGGTTGAAGAAGATAGGGTTGTCCACGGCAGCGTAGCCCACGCCGAGACTTCTCTTCATGACAATCACCTGGTTCGATTTCCAGACCTTGAGGACGGGCATTCCAGCAATGATCGAGTTGGGGTCATCCTCGGCAGCAGAGTTCACCGTATCGTTGGCGCCGATCACCAGAGTCAGGTCAGTTTCGGTAAAGTCATCATTGATCTCCTCCATCTCCAGGACAATGTCGTAGGGGACACCTGCCTCGGCCAAGAGGACGTTCAGTTGTCCCGGCATTCGTCCTGCCACCGGGTGAATGCCAAAACGAACATTTTTGCCCTAACGAATGAAAAGGAAAAATGGTTAGTAAATTAAAAGTTGCTTTCTTTGAAGCCTAGTTACCTGATTGCGCAAAATTTGCACCATCTCCGCGAGCGGATACTGAGCCTTGGCGACGCACAAACCGTAGCCAGGCGTGATGACAATGTTCTTCGCCTCCCGAATCGCCTCCACTGACTGGTCCACATTCCATTCGGTGTGTGTGCCAGAGACGATGGCTGCCGGACCAGAAGCTGTCTGCCCGAACCCACCCAAGATAACATTGGGCAGTGATCGATTCATCGCCTTTTATCGAGGAAAAAGAAAGCATCGTTAGTGGCTCTGCAATTCCTCAATTCAACACTGACCTTGCACATGATGTAGCTGAGTATGCCACCGCTACTGCCAATCAATGCTCCAACAATTGTCATCAGGCTGTTGTTGAGCATGAACCCTTCAGCGCACAACGCCCACCCACTGTAGCTGTTGAGAACGGTGATCACCACGGGCATGTCTGCGCCACCGATGGCCGACGTGAGGGTGACGCCGAGAATGGAAGAGAGCGCTGCAGCACTGCCGAGAGAGCTCAGTCCAGCCAACTTGGAGGGGTCTGCCAGGAAGTACGCCATTGAGCCGGCCGAAGCGACCAACATTGCAGAGTTCAGAGCATGTCGTCCGGGCAGCAATAGGGGCGCAGAGTTGAGAAGTCCTTGCAACTTGCCATAGCTAGGGTGTAGGTGCAACAAGCATGTTAAGGAAAATCCCAATTTCAAATAATGGCAGAATGCTTACGCAATGAGAGAGCCACTGAAGGTGATGCCGCCAATGAAGGTGCCCAGAAAGAGCGCCGTCTTGATGGTGGTGGCAGCTGGATCGGTGGCGAATGTGGCAAAGTCGTGAAGGTAGGTAGCGAAGCAGGTGCTGACAGCAGCCAGACCGACGAGCGAGTGGAAGGCAGCCACCAGCTGAGGCAGATCGGTGATTTCCAGCTTCTTGGCAATGGCCAACCCAAGGGCACCGCCGCCGGTCATGCAGGCGCCTATTTGAATCAGCAGTTCAGGCGTGAGATTCATTAGGCCAAGTGTGGCGACCAGACCGGTGGAGACGCCAATCATGCCAAGGGCATTGCCTAGTCGGGAGGTCGACTGGGAGCTGAGGCCAGAAAGAGCACCGACGCAGCACAGAGAAGCGCCTGCAAATAGAAATAAAGATGAGACTTTAAAAACCCGATAGAGTCGATCAGTTTGCCTACCTAAATAGGCCATTTGGTTGACATGGCTAAGGCCATTCATCATGGCCATGAGGTAGGCGCCGGTGAAGACCGCCGAGGGAATCAGGTAGAGGTAGTTGTACTCCGGGGGGTCAGTCGGTCGCTTGAACATGTCCAGCATTCGCTGGGTGACCAGGAAGCCGCCGGCAATGTTCACCGCCGACAGTGTCAGCGCAGCAGCGCCCAGCGCCTGCGGCAGCGTCTGCGGCACCATACCGCCGCCCATGAGCAGCAAGCCGCCCACTGCGGTAATGCCGGAGATGGCATTCGTCACCGACATGAGTGGAGAGTGCAGAGCCGGTGTCACTCCCCACACCGTGTGATAGCCCACTAGGCCAGCAAGGCCCAAGGTGGTGGTCATCACCGTGAACTCGGCGTTAGGACTCACTGCGCCCAGAGCTACGAGAGATCCTGAAAAAAGGGTAAACAAAGAGGTTAATTGCGTTAAGCACACTGTGCTCAGTCAGGCCATTCAGTCCGTACCGAGTCCTGCGCTGTACATCAGGGCAGTGTTCATCGTCTGTTTGAAGTAATCCTTAGGCAGGAGTTCCTTCGGCGGTGCCTTCATCACTTGCTCCTTGGCAGGCGTCGCAGCGGCAGCCACCTGAGTGACCGGTGGTGGTGGTGCCGGCCACAGAAAGGAGCCTTTGTGAAGGACAATAGAGCCCCGAACGACCTCGTCCTCCAGGTTAATGTGGAACGCATCGGGGTGCTCAGGCGTGGCCAGTGCCTGCAGGAAATACTTGGTGACATTGTTGGAGAAGAGCGTCGAAGACTGCGTGGCCATGCGCGAGGGCAGATCAGTGAGGCCGATGTGCACCACCCCAGAGGGACTGTGTGTGTACACCTCACCCGGTCTGGTCGTCTCAATGTTGCCACCGTTCTCGGCAGCCAAGTCCACCACGACGGAGCCTGGCTTCATCAGGGCAATCATTTCCTTTGAAATGAGCACCGGCGCCTTCTTGCCCGGAATGAGCGCCGTGGAGATGATAATGTCCACTTCAGAGCACTGCTTGGAGAAGAGTACCCGCTCTGCTTCGAGAAACTCGGGGCTCATCTCCTTAGCGTAGCCGCCCGTCCCTTCGCCAGACTCCTTGAACTTGAGCTCCAAAAACTCGGCGCCAAGAGACTCGATTTGCTCCTTGACAGAGGCACGAGTGTCAAAGCCACGCACAATGGCGCCCATGTTTCGGGCAGTGCCGCAGGCAGCCAGACCAGCAACACCTCCGCCAATGACAAGCACCTTAGCGGGCGGAACTTTACCAGCTGCTGTAATCTGACCAGTGAAGAAGCGACCGAAATGGTTGGCTGCCTCAATAACCGCCTTGTAGCTAAAAAGGAAAATGAGCAAATAAATACTGAGGCACTATAAAACAACAAAAAACACTCTTACCCAGCAATGTTGGCCATTGAGCTCAAGACATCGTACGTCTGTGCACGGGAAATACGTGGAATGCAGTCGACGGCGAAAACGTCCAGCTGCTTGCGAGCCAGGGCGTCAACCAGTGCTTTATTTTGGGCCGGAAACAGTAGACTGATCAGTGAGGTGCGCTCCTTGAGCAGATCCACCTCGGTCTCCAGAATGGGCGCTCTCACTTTGAAGATCACATCGGAGTTGCCAAAAATGTCCTGTCGAGCGACGACTTTCGCGCCGGCCGCTTCGAAATCGGCGTTGGAAAACTTTGCATTCACTCCGGCATCCTCTTCAACCAGTATTTGAATTCCTTTCTTTGAGAGCGTCGCAGCCGAAGCTGGCACCATGCTTATACGCTTTTCGTTTGGCCATATTTCTTTGGGAATGCCTGAAAAGTGATTGTAAATTGTAAATAAAAATAGGCGTAAAAAATGTTATTGATACGAACCGATTTTAAGTCCTTTGTAGGGCAGTGGTTTGCTCTGAAGATTACGCGCTGACAGTGACAAAGTCAACCGAGCGGAGATTGACAGAGTTTGGCAAAGTGTTTTTACTTGAAGCAGCTGCATGACTAGTCGTCAGAGCAGTGTCAGACAGCTTCTGGTGTGATGTGTTTTCGGTGGTGTATTCCGTCCGTGACAATGACGAGCGCAAGTAGCTTTGGGTCGAGTAATATATGGAGAAGCTTAAAATATAGTTGGTGAAAAACAGCTAAAAATATGGTTGCTTCGGCTGTTGTTGCTACTGCTGCTGATTGCAGCGTTGGCGCCTCTGGAGAACAAGTATGCACGCTCACAATCGCTGAAAAAATCTTGTGATTGCCTTATCAAACGTATGAAACAAAACTAAATGTTTTCGTTTTTATCAATTACTCGCGGGCAAACCGTCACGTTCAAGGGTAAAGAAGAGAAGTGCTACCGTTTGCGGATGTGGCATGGAACTGACAGCAGACCTAGCTCACCTGTCAGCTTCCCTTTTCCACAGAGAATATATTGTTGAAAGAATTTAGTCACGTGAACGATCATTGGCGGCAACTAACCATCGAGTATCGACCATCGTTTGTCAATTTTGTCCAAACCGCTTTTGTGTAAGAGAAAGGATTCTCAGCGTCATCAGTGTTTGTAGTATCCGACCACAGATTTGGAGGAGCAGTACTGTGGCTGGCAATCGAGTGGCACAACTCTCAGAAACAGCACATGGCCGAAAATGTTTGAAGGCTAGGGCAACCCCCAAAGCCAAAACAGAAAATTGGCATGCAACTGCAACCCAAATGTCAAGCTGTTTCCGTTCAGTAAAAGTAATAATCTGTTGGAAACAAACTGGTAAAAGACTAATAGAATCCTGGTCTGCTTTGTTTGTGAAAACTGCGGGAATTGTTTCAAAATGGACCAGTTTTTTGCGTTCTTTCACTTAAAACTTTCGGACAGATGCTCTTTCGACCATTTTGACCGGCCTCGGTTGACATGGCGGCCTACCACAGCGCCGCCACTCTTCAGTCAGTGTGCGTCTAGCAAAGAAAGCGCCGATCAGCTTGTTTACGATCCAAGATCAGTTCCACCTTTTCGTTCACCTATCCACCACCATGGACCAACAAGGCAAACCAGATTTCGAAGTGACCAAGTTCGACAACTGGGCGGAAAGGCCGCTGATCAACACCCGATGGACAAAGGCCTACAGCGGCAGCGATCTTCTCAATCGCACTGAACTGCTCCTTCACCCAATCGAGTACATGACCACTCTGGTTCAGATTGGCTACGAGCCCCTGCCACCAAAACTGAGCAAGTCAATCTTCGGGCGGACACAGCTTCAACTGCCCGGCTTTTTTACCTACATGAACTACATCGTCAAAACCGATGGCTTCTTTGGCATTTATCGAGGGCTCCGCTTTAACATCGCTTACTCGGTGGCGTACCGGTTTGTCTACAACAATGCGGACAGTCTCTCCAAGCAAACAAAACTTTTCGGCTCCATCAAGACCACCGATGAGAAGTTCAAGGACCTGAAAAGTCTGTCACTAAGCCTTGTAAATGAGACACTGAGCAGAGTGGCGGCACTTGCCGTTGCCTACCCATTTCACGTTATGATGGTTCGCTCAATGTCTCAGTTTGTTGGCCGCGAGACACACTACGACTCCATCACAAGCGCAATACTGGACATTTACTACACTGGCGGCGTTTCCGGATTCTACTCTGGTTTTGTGCCATTCGTGCTGGGCAACTGCATTCTGCTGTACCTCGAGTCAGGCCTGATCTACTTGCTGCGCAATCACGTGGACAAATCACTGGAGCTGTCAAAGAACACATTTGTCCTCTCCAGCATCAGCATAGTCACTCGATCACTAATCTACCCCTTCCGAATTGTCTCCACCGTGATGTCCTGCAACGGCTCTTCTGCCCGCTCTGTGGCCGCATCCGCCTACACTGCCCCGGGCTATGAAAACTGGCAGGAATGCATGCGCTCACTATGGGCTCGAGGCGAAATCAAGCGAGGCTCCTCGCTCTTCTGGCGTTATCAACCAATCACCTCCTCGCTCATGTTTCCTGTGCAACCATTGACTCCAATGAAGCTTCGATAAAGACAAAAGTGTTTAGCACAATTATGACGCTGTAAAAGGCTTAAATTGATTTACTTATTGTAATGTGTGAAGTAATATCAGCGATGCCATAGAATAATTAAGTGATTTTACATAAATAATCAAGTGTAGCGGTCGCGTAGGCAATCACATAAAATAAATGTTGACCAAATGTTGTATGCTCATGGCGTAGTGATGTGAAATTGTGTGAAGCGATGCAGAGCGCTCAAGAAAAGACGTCTTCGCGGTCGGCACCAACATAGTCAGATTCGTCAATGGTGGCAAAGTTGGTAAAGTGTCCCGTTCGGTGAATTTCATGGTAAAACTCCTTCGGATTGGCCAACTGCAGATCGTACTTCATTGAGGCATCGTGACGAACGCCTGTGAAAATGAGAAAAATGAAAGGGTAAATAAAGTGTCACAAAAAGTTAGGAGGCTGAGTGGAAATTGAGATTTGCCAACAAGTTGGCAAAAGAATTCACACGCAGTACTATGGTAGTGCATTTGCTTTCGGCATTTCCCTTGCAATGTCCTCAACATGTGTTTCCAAATGTAGTGCAAAGCACCGATTTAGAAAGTTTTGTCTTTTAAAACTAATTGAAGACAGTAAATGCAGGAGGTGCCAAAGAGATGAGGCTAAGAAGTAGTGAAAGCAATTCCTTACCTGTAAAGTTGTAGTTCCATGATCCTTGAGCTGGCACCATATAAAATCCAAGGAACCGATCAGACAAAAGCATCTGGACCTTTTCATAGTGAGAAGGCAAATATCCTTTGGGATTGTTGCCGCGATCGGTGTTCTGGCGTCCCCACTCGAAGCCGCCGGGAGTCAGCTTGTAGGCGGTCAGCGAGCACGAGCCCGGCGTGAAAGAGCACGTGATGATGATCGTTTTATCAGCATCCCAAGAAGTGTTGTCTGCCATAATCTTCGCATGACATGTGACGTCTTGCGGTGACAACTGCGGCAGTTCATTGGGCTGAGTGTGAATCCAACCAAGGGGCTCCAATTCGGAAAGATACTCATGCGAAGGCAGATGAGAGGGCAAGTGAACGACCTGATGGGTGCCCAACTGCGGCGGCATCACAATGCACCGAATCTCCTTCACTTGCGGATTATCAGCAGGACTAACGCCGTAGATGTAGCCGGCAATTTGTGTTCGAAGGTCAGAGATGATGATGAACTTTTTAAGAATGTTCTTCGGCAAAATGTACGTGTAGCCAGTCTCCTTGATGTCGTCCGATGACACGTAGATGTGATTGGTTCGCAGGTGCAGATTCGTTGCAGAGATGGCACGGATTCGCCACTCAGTTTTACTGGCAAATGACTGCGACTCGTAGTTACTAGTCGTCGAGGTGATTATTTCATCGCCATGTTTGTTGACTGTGCGCGTTGTGACGGCAGTCAGTTGGGACTGTTCCTTAGTTTGCTTTTCAATTTCGGCAATCTGCTGGCGCTGAGCAGACGGGGCGGAAATTTCCATTCCCAGAATAATGTCACGAATTTCTGACTGTGTCAGAGAGGCGACGTTGACATTGTTCTTTTTGCCATAGTCAGCCAGGATGAGATCCTTCAGCTGAACTTCCACCTTGATCCATTCCTCGTCAGTCAAACTGGGCCAAATGTGATGTGGCTCAGTGATGGTGGTCTTATCTGGCTTGAGAATGACCTTCGTACGTTCATTATTCACGTGCAGGGCGCGCAGAATGAGAATCAAACGAGAGAAAGCAGTGTACGAAGAAATGGTCTTTAGCCAGTCATCGTACAAGTTGAAAAGGACCATCTGAGGCTCGGTTGCTTTGAGAATCAAATCACCAAACTTTTCCACTTTCAAGCAGGCCTGGAAGGGCAGTTGCAGCTCACTGCCCTTGATGACGATATTCGGAAAGTCGAGCAAATGAACCTAAGTTTAAATTACAAGTAGTTAGTTTTAAGCAAATCGAAAACACTAAATAAAGAATTACCTCGAGAGGATCCAACATTCCCTTTCGTGTGACGATAATCTGCTTCGGTTGCTCCTCAACTGGAAGCGAGCGAATGAGAGCGGCAACTTCTTCGGCGGTTTTCCACTTGGCCAACTGACCAAGACGCTTCTGGCCGGCCCAGACGCTGGTATGAATGATTTTGAGGAAGAGCTGTCCGGTTCGCGGGTTAAAGATGAAGATGGCTCCGTTAATGGGCTTTGTTGTCAAGTTGCCTTCAAATGTCTTGTGGATGGTTACACGATACACGTTAGTATCGTCCACAAACCAGATGATCTGGTTCGAAAAGAGTTCACCGTAATTCTGGGAAGACAGGTACGGCTCAGTTGGCTCAGAAGAGTACAGCTGTAGACCTTTGCGAATTCGCTCTCGGAGCACGTACAATGCCGGATTGGCCTTCATGATCTTGGCCATTGCCTGCTGAATGAGCGGTTTGGAGCCGGGGAACCAGTTGCCGTAGGCAGAGTGCAAGTTGTAAGCCAGGTCAATGACAATGAGAACGCCGGTCGGGGAAGGGTAGATGCTCATGTTGTCGGTGGTGTAGTCGAGAAATTTGGCACGAGCATATCGCTCCACGTCGTGAGAGTCGTAGTCGCCCCATCGTAGCTGGACATCAATCCAGTACTTTTGAGTAGTGTTGCCGTCCATGACGTCCTTGGTGTCGGCCAACAGCGATGGGCGAGACACGTTCCACTTGTAGGCGGCAAAGAGCAGAATATCGGCACAAGAGCTGTTCATTTTGTACGATTTACGAGGGTGAATAGTCTCCTTCTGGACTGTTTCAATCTCAAGAGCGTCCAGCTCCTGGTCAAAAACCTGACACAAATCCATGACGACACTCTCGTGAATCTTCTGCCACAGATGGGCACGGAAAATCTGAATTAGTGAAATTTTCAGCGTAGGAATTTTGCCGTGCATGAAGATGCCCGTTAGGTCGAGTTGCACCTGAAAGCCGACGTAGACATTGGCGCGGTTGATTGTGGGCGACCACCAAAGTGTGAATCGACGGTTGGGAATTTGGTTCAGACCAGAGCGTTGAGCATTGGTCAGCTTTTTGTACTTCATCGACTCCTCAAAGCCACTGGCCTTCTCCCAAAAGAGACCCTCCCAAGTGGGGAAATAGGTACCCTTGAAGAGGGTGTGCTCGAGAATGCCCTCCACGCCGCCAAGCGCTTGAATCATGTCGGTTCGGTAGTTGTTCAAGTTCCACAGTTTGCCGTCATGTCGTTGGTGAGTCCACCAGAAGGGATTCTGCTTCAGAACCTGGTACTGCTTGAAGTCCGTTCGCACTCGCCAGCCCTTGTCGTAGGCCAGTGTGTGGCGATCCTTCTGGAAGAGCGTGTTGATTCGCGGAATGCCACGATCCCAGCTGTCTTCGAGATCCTCCAGTGTAAGACGTCGGTTTTGTGCCAGCGCCTCTTGCCGCTTCAAGGCATACTCCGCCCAGACACGCTGTGAGTCAATGAACTCAGTCTCCCAGGGTTGAATGTATCGGTACAAGTTGGGGATGACCTGATCCTCGTCGTGCGACATGCCAGAACGGAAGTGAGTGATGCCGACATCGGTTTGCTTTGACCAACGCAAATCAGACTGAGGAATGAGCACGTGGCCCATTGACAGCATTCCAAGGCCGCCCAACTCTTTGGGTGTGTAAAAGACGACAGGCGGAAATCGACTGGGCATCTTTGAGTTGAGGCCAATCTTAATTCGAGTTTGGATTTTGTTTTCGCACTTGACAAGCAAGTCAAGCAACTCCTGTGTGTTGACAACTGCCTCGCGGTAGTAAGTCATCAGGCCAATCAGTGCAGTGTTCCACTTGTTGACAATTTTGGTAAACGTTGTTGAGCCTGAGGCCATGAGAATTTGGCGAACTCGGTTGTGAAAGCGCTGCAATGATTCATCGTCGACGCGCAAGAAGCATTGGGCAGTTCGCTCCTTAGTGACCTCATTTTGAAGGTTCCAAACGCCGTCCTTGTGAATAAACTCTTCAAGTGCCATTCGGCATTTAGGCAGAATGCGACACTCAAAGCCGGACATGTTGAAAAGCAAGTTAGGGTTATCCTTGCTGTAAACGGAAACGAAGCTGCTGTCCCAATCGATAGTGGTCACAGAGCGAGGCAAGCGATTTTTGATGTCCCAAAAGACGGCTCTGCCCAAGTTGACGTCATGCTTCATCAAGCGCATACGAGCATCGCGGGGCCAGCACTTTTTGTTGTTGTACCCAACGATGTTCTCATTATTCGGGTCAGGGTGTTCAGTGAGGTATCGCTGGATTAAGTCTCGGGCCTCTTCAGCAGTGAACCGGAAGAAGACATGAAAGCGGTCAATGTATCGTGAGTACAGGCGAATCGGGTGCGAAATTTCGGTGGCCACATCTTGGTACGTCAAAAAGTCGTTGGGCATCTGTGGCGGGCCGGCCATTTCACTGGATCGTTGCAGACCGAGCACTAGCAGATCAAGCACCAGACCGTAGTACTGGACGATAAACGAGGAAAACTGTAAACCTCGAATAATGCCATAAGAGTTGGTGTGATTCATGTCCTTGTAGTTGATCACCACGTTGTTTTTAGCCGTCATGTAGTCAGCGATGTTGTGGTCCACGATTAGGCGCAGCAGTCGATTAAGAAGTGTCAAGTCAATCTTTTCGTACATCTTCTCAAATCGTGTCTCCAGCATGACATTGCATTCCTGCTCACTGGTATCCCAGACATCCTGCAGATTGTTGACCCCTTGGCACCACTTGTAAACTAGCAGCGGCGGAGGCTCAGAGTCGCCTGGTTTGATCCACGATGGAAAGAGGTGGCGCTTGTCCGCTTCATACCACAAGTACTGATCAAGGTAAGCATCAGTAATTTTCTCCAGCGGCTCGACATCATAGACGGGAATCAGGTGGGAGTACAGGTCCATAAATTCAATGCTCACTTCTCGAAAAGCACGTTGTGTTAGAAGATGTCGCTTAATTCGAGACAGTGCCTCGTGTGGGTTGTCGTAGGCCTGTTCAATCAGGCCGAGTTCCTCACGCTGAGACTGGTTCAAACGACTCTTCACGGAATAGGCCTCTTTAAGGCGTTCCAAAGCGAGAATCAGCAGCTTGGTGTCATGTTTGTAAGAAAGCGGAGGAAAGGGAATGGGTGAAAATCGTCGACTTTCCAGCCAGTGCACGGTGGTAGTGTAGATGGCCACAGCTTCCTCAGCGCTCACATAAGGCCCATCCTTCAGGTAATTGTGCTGGCGTTCTTGTTCGGCCTTCAGGTACAATCGAGTCAGGCGACCGAGGTTCTTTTTGCAAACCGTTTTGTCAACAGTGGCACCACGTCGAATTCGCTCACGATTGTAGTGCGCAGTGTTGGTCCACCAATCAGCCTTCATTTTCACATAACGCAAAATCATGTTTTCAATAGGAATAGGAAGGCCGGGCACTTTCCAGGGGATGTTGGCCTTCCAGCAACGCCATGCTTCACTGAGGTGCTGCAGAATAGTTCGCGCTTTGTTCTGCTTAATTCCCTCAGGCATCATGTCAATAATGTCGTGCATGACAGAGGCGCGGAGTTCCAGGTCAAAGTGAGACTCGACACGCTGTTTGGTCACCGTTTTAGCAACGCCCTTTGAATGGCGACCTTCAAACTGGCGAGATAGCAAGTTGCCAAGCCAGCGTTCGAGCAGTGGGGTGATGCCGCGCATGAAAAAGAGCCAGACACGCCAACCAGGAGCCCAGAAGCCGCATCCAGGTCCCTTGCCAACTGGGCCGGTGTTGAAACGATAGTAGATGAGATGCTTCAAGTCTTTGCACATTCGAATTTGTCGCATCAGCTTGTACTTGTAGCGGTACATCCCAGTGAGCTGACCAACGTGCGCAAAGATGTACTGAATTCCGTCGGCCAACTGAAAAGCGTCCACGTTGTTGAGACGATACTGAACGTGACTGTCGACGATGAGTTTGGTAAGGCGGAGAATTTCACGACACAAGTGAAAAGCGTTTCCGAAACGAGACTTCTTTCGCTCTTTAGTGGTCAACGTTTTGACTGGCTTAAGATTGAAGTTGTAATCCAAATGCAAATAATTCAAGTTCTTTCGATGAATCAGCAAGTTCAGCATATTGTAGCCTTGACGACACACCTGCAGTCCTGCTTCTACCCAGTCAATAGTTGTCGACTGGAAAAACTTTGTTGATTTAAACGAACGGAACAGGTATCGCTTCTTTTGAGGCTTAGGTCGACGATGATGAAGAGCGTTGAGTACAAAATATTTGAGTAGTTTTTGATAGGAAACGCGCACTTTAACGGGCATTCCAGGCGGGCAATGCTCGCGGTACCAGCTGGCCACCAGTGGAACATCAAGTGCTCGACGAGCACGACCAGAGCGAAGATTGTAAGGCCTGGGTGCCCACAAAAGTGAAATGCCGTTTGCAGTGTTATCGGTGTACAGTGGGCGTGAGGCAAGCAAAGGTTCAACGTAGTCTGGCAAAGTGAAGCCTTCTTCGTCGTCATCATTATCTTCAGGCAAAGGCTCAAACGAACGATCTGCTTTGCTGTGGGCGATCGGGTTGATTAGAGGATCAAAATAAAAAGCCGGCAAATCGGGGTCTTCTGTTTTGATAAAGACGACGCTCGGTGTGTGGTACCTAGTAAAAAGAGGTTTTAGTAAGTTTTGTTTGTTTCAACTTAAAATCGTAAAAGATATTTACCATGAAAGGTAGACAAAATGAGGCAAGTTGTTGTATAGATAGGGAAACGCAATGCGGTATTCAGTACGAATCGGCTGACGAATGATAATTTTGTTGATGTCATTAAATTCATTCCAGTCCTCATCAGCGGGGTTGATGTCTTTGACAAGCGGCTCAAATTTAGGTCCACCTGGAATGGCCATATTTAGAGCTTTTGCGGTGAAGAATGATTTTAAGTCAAAGAGATAAAAGTAATTGTCATCAACCAAGTCAGTGAGAAGCTGGTTGGCAAGTCGGTACAGAGTGGCCATCTGTGGAAGGGTGAGGTTCCATTTGCGATAAGAAGTGCCGTTGACGTGCTTCGTATCCACTAGTGGCTTGTGATCGTAAAACCACTCGTAAACTTGTCCATCTTCTTCCGGATCAAGATCGATTTGAATAGCTTCAAGCGGCTCGACTTCAATAATATTGTCCGAGTAGTCTAGCGGTGGCTCTTCGTCGTCAAAAGGAGGAAAACGCATTCGTTTAAAGTGACGACGATCTCGCTTTTCTCGACGCATCATAATCCACATGGAGCCCCACTGAGCAATGAATATCGGCTCAACGACCAGTGGAATTTCATTGACAAATGTGATGGCGCCGGTAATGTGATACAGGACATTCACTTCACGAATTTGCTCCCAGGGCATCGGCATGTTTTCCAGCAGCTTCAGGACGGCATGAGGAACGTACTTCAAAGCACCCAGGTAAACACGCTTATCATGTCGGTACTTTTTTGAAGTCATATCACCGTGGTCACGAATGATCTTTCTTAGGTGCTCTGGAGGCATGTCTTCCTTTTGGGTTTCGACGAACCCAAACTTTTTTCTGTCTGAATAGCGTTTCGATTGAAGTTGCTGCCATTTCTTTGACTTTTCCTTCAGCTCTTCTTCGGTTAGAAAGTTGCTGCCTTGGCTGTACTCGCTAGGCAAGGGAATGTTGAAATGTTGATAGTGCGAGTGTTGATCACCAGCAACGTATCCGGGAGGAATATTGGGCATCATTGGTGGCAGTGCCATGCCAGGTGGCACGCCGTAGGGATTCATTTTGGAGCTCTGGATTCTTCAGAAGTGCGTAAGTTGGATTCCGTAAACACAAATGAAGAAAAGCCGGCAAACAAAGCACATTTATTTTTCGTGAAAAAAATGTGAGCTAAACGCTCAACGCTAAGTCCCTGTCATAGAAGACGTGCTGTGGTGTGCTTCCAAAATCTGAAAATCTACTGGTTTTATGACTTGTAGTTTATTGCATCACCATTTTTATGTAAGTTTGAACTTGTTTTTGTAAGTTATTTGTAAAAAGTTCATGATAATTTTTACTACATTATTTTAAAGTTTACTTTAAAACTTATTACAACTGTCAGTTGTATTCTGCTACAGCTATGTGTCAAAATATCCTGGTAGAGGTCACTAGCAGATTTAAAATGTAAGAATATTCTGCTTTCTATATTGAAAAAAGCAAGGCACCAATTCGTCTTTATTATAAATAGAAAGCATGCTGTGAGAACATCAAAAGTAAGATGCCTGGACAATTGTGTGGTGGCAGCTTGCTTCATCGCCGGGCACCACTCTCCAAGTGCAGCAAGTGCTAAATGAAAATGGATTTGGACAGTGCTGGGCCGGATTAAATGGTTCTGTTAATTATTGTCTCCGAATTAAATATGACCAGCAATGGTGGAGAGAGCACTGTGTGCACTGGTGGCGGCGGTGCTGGCGACTGATGAGGCGGTGGCCAGGCGCGGATGAAGATTGATGAAGGTGGTCACCGAAAAGGCGGGTGAATGGCTCGATAATTTGTTTTGATTTGCCCTGATCAACTGAAGTGCCACTCGACGCGGTAATGAATTATTTTAAAATCAAGATTAATGAAGCAGGCACGTTCGATCGATGGCAGACACTGGCAATTGCATCATCGCTGTCACCACTGCTACTTTTTGGATTCTGTGCTTTCTTCCTTTCTCCAGCAGTTTTCTCTCTCTCTTTGTGCTGATTTCAGACTCCTCTTCCTTAATTAATGGCTACTAATGCATTGCAATGCCTCCCCTTCTTCCCCCTCCTTCAGCAGCTGGCTGAGACCCAATTGGGCCTCTGGCAAATCGACGCAGATTGGACCATTACTGCAGCCATTAGGGCGTCATTACTGGACAGAGTTGGGTGGTGGTAATGTTGCTGCTTCTGCTGATTTGCCTCTGCGATGCCCAAAACCCGAGTCCTAGTCTTTAGTAGTAGAGCACGTCGTGATTGATGCGGCAAGCTGCCCATTGGACTAATTCAATTTGAATAGACAATCATGTGAGTGGGAATGGAGTGCCCTGGCGCCCAGTCGGGGACATTTAGGCAATGGTCGAATTTACATTCGGCGGTCGTCTGAAAAAAGTTCAGCTTAATTAGATTAGAAGTGCTCTGAGAATGGGAGAATCGTCTTTACGCTTTGTCCGTCCAGCTCACACTTAGTCGCTTGGCAGATCTCAACTGCTGTGTGCTGTCTCTGCTACCATCACCCTACAAACTCGCCAATTGGAGTGTGCTGCTCGCTTTCTCCAATCTGCGCCTCTCAAATGGCGTCTTGTTTGGTAATTCGCCAGCAGCAGCTACTGGGCTTGCCGATAATCACCAGCGGCAGTAACCACTTTGGAAAAGTATCTGCTAGAAAAGGAAAAAAGAAGAAAAGAAATGAACAGACAAATCTGCAGTTTGGCTATGGTGGCAGCAGTTTGTGAAAAGCCAACATGCACTGACTGCCTGACTGATGACTGCTGAATTCTCTGTCTGGTGACAATATATTAGTTACATCTAATTGTGAGTATTAATTGTTCTACGCGGATTTATTTTTCTACTTTCTTAGTTCTGCTCTCATTGAGCTTAATTTAATTTGGATTTTCCTTCCGCAGTAACACTCTCTGTAAAGGACATTCTTAATGACTGAAGAATACACACTCATTTTGCGCCTAATGCTTGCCTCGGATAGACATTTCTCTCTTTTTCTAGGAGCCGCCTATTCTAATTTGCTTAGTGGCGCCAATCTTCTCTAGTTACTGCCAAGTGCACAGTTGTGCTATTGAAATTGGTGCACAATGACGATGTTTGAAGCAGCATTTGAGATGCTTCACAACAAACCGCAATCTACAAAAACCGCTTCTTACAAACACAGTTCTAAGAATTGAAAGAAATGAAAGAAAGAATTGATGTTAGAAGCATGGCTGGTGTGCCTTTGCACTTTGAGAAGCAGGTGTTCGCTTACTGTATTTCATTTTCTGTTTGAAATTCACTTCTTTGTAGTTGTATACTTTTTACAATTTTTATACTGCCCATCGTGAATCGCTACAAATTATTTAATTGCAAAACAGGATTCTCAATGATGTTTGTGAGGGTAACACAGTGCAGAAAGGTAGAAAAAAGAGCATCGAGCCTTTGAGAGGAAGGCCGCACTTTGATTGATGACTCCTTATCGGTGTAGGTGACCGAAACAATTAGTTTGATATAGAGGAAGAAATGCTTCACTTAATTGCACTCACTCGATAGGTCATTACATAAAATGACAGAACCGTTAATGGACACCAAAAACGGTTTGTTCAGTGTTCTGTACACTTTCAGTACACCTGCACATCACTGACCAAGCTATTAAGGCATCGTTTGGCAATTAATAAAGGAAGCATGCACTTCATCGCCTGCCTGAAACGAAAGTGTTTGTGACGCGACTGCAGTGCGCTCAAACTAGTGAAATGACAGACAACAGCTCAGTAGTGACTGTTCTGACTGACCACTGTTTGCAGTGATTCTTTACTTTTGTGTCGTTTTGGTGCTCGCTTTTCTAATCTTATTTTACGCCTTGTCGCCTAGTCGGCAAATTGAAAATAGCCTTCCGCCCAAGAGGCCAGCGAAGAAGTGCCGAACAGTGGAGAATGTTTACAGTGCCATTAATAATGGGCTAGTAGAAGGACAGTTGCCGGCCAGTGACGAGGACAATGGCACTAAAGGAGCTGGCTAGGCTCCAGTGCGCGCCATTGACGACGGCACATCATCAGCTCGATGATGGATTTGATTGTAAAATCAATGAGCACTAATGTTGCTTATTAGACTGCCCATTCACATGTCGCACTCGATGTGGACAGCACGGCTTTCTTGCCCTCCTTTTTTCTTCTCTGCGAATGTCTAGGCACATCATGGCACTCATTCAATCATGCTCGAATCCATTTGCTTGCCGATGATGGCTGGCAGTGGATGCCTCTGACCACAGAGCACCAAACACTGCATACCATTTGGCTGCTATCTTTGACTGCCTTCATGCAGATAGCCAATAAGTGAAAGGACTGTTCCACTTGAAAGGAGCGCAAGTTCTTGTTCAATGTCCACAAATGCAATCGATGATGCGACAATGCAAACACGCTTGTGGCTGTGGTCCTCCAATTGCTTGGTCTAAATTTTTAAAACTGCACTTTCAACAATTTTAAAACTTGTATGAACATTGAATTTATAGACACAGAAACATTAGTTGTCCACATTCTGAATCTAAATGACTTTGGAGTCCGTTTGTAGATAATTAATACCATTGGGTTTTCTAACTAGCCAAGACATCTTCAAAATGATTAGTTGGACGTTTAGTCTAGCTAAAGGGCAGTGCAAACAAACTTATTCAGAAGGACACTTGTGTGTGAGCTGTCGCTTTGATTTACATGTTTACATAATGTTCTATTCCTTGTTATGGTGACAGAAATGTAGCAAAGTTGGTAAACAGTGCAACGGACAAGTGGACATTTCCGTTTGCTTGCCGATGCTGAAGAACCTTTATTTGCCTTCAATCATTGCAGGTCGCGCAAGATGAGTGCTTTTTCTTTATTTTAGGAAACCAGTTCTCACTAAGTGCATATTCAACGATTAGTGCTAATCACAAAGTTCTTCGTGTGTGCTTGTGACTGTCTCTGACAGCCATAAATATAAAACTGATCGGAATGTTTTAATAAACACTTCTACGACATGATTAGTGTCAACTAAAGTAGTGCATCGACTGGTTGGCAGTGTGTACTCAGCTTGCGCTTTTCGCTGCCATGCGATTCTCATTAATTTGTGCTAAATCCTCTCCGACACTAATGGCATCAGACGAGGATTTTAATTGCCCACTACCAAAAGGTCCTTTAGAAAGTCGACACATAAAGTACTACTCTTGCAAGCAATTGATTTAAATTTGAGAGCTTTAAATAGAAAAACAATTGCACTCGGGTGTACAATTGAGACTGATTTTAGTTGCACAAAAATAGGTTTTAATAATTATTGCCCTAACAGAAAAACTATCTAAGCAATTCTTTTTCCAATTGCACTGTGTTCAACAGAAAATATTTGTGATATGGTCAATCTGCAAATCTAAATCACCCACTTTTCCTCAATCTGACTGACTCTGCACATCTTGATTTGATTACAGCATACTTTCAGTGCATCTACTTTTCTCAAGAGAGTCATCCATTTGCATACGTTTCGGTTAGTCGATTTAACTAACCGAAAACGACAAGGCTGTTTTGGCAATGTAAACTCTTACCCAAAATTGTTTCTGTTATTAGCTTCACAAAAGCAACTGCCCCTGGAGTCGCCCATCTACAATGGCCATTTAAGAGAAATGGCTCAATTCTTTCATTTTTCTGTTTTTGTCACATATGCTAAACTAAGCCTAATTAGCTCCATTCCATTTGTTTT